AATTACTTAGAGCAAGGCGTGGGGGGCGTACACCTGCCATCTAAGTGCTGGGGAGCTCAAGTAGTAGAATTTCAACGATTTTGAAGCCAGCCTGAGCTACATAGCAAGACTTCATCTCAAAAAGAAAAAGGAAAAAAAAAGACATGGTGGCACACTTACCTTTAATCCCAGACTTGGAGGCAGAGGCAGGTAGATTTCTGTGAGATCAAGGCCAGCCTGGTCTACAAGGCAAGTTCCAGGACAGCTGGGGCTACAGGGAGACCCTGTCTCAAAAAAAAAAAAAAGTAAAAAGGAGAAATGCCCCAAGTTTGCCTTCTCACTATTTCTGGAGAATGAATTTTTACAAAACTAAATATTTTCCAGAAAATATTTCTAAATCTAGAATCCAAATGCTAGAACTATTTATGTATATACATTTATCTTTTTTTTTTTTTTTTGGTCTTTTTGAGACAGGGTCTCTCTGTAGCCCCAGCTATCCTGGAACTCACTATGTAGACCAGGCTGGCCTCAAACTCACAAAGATCCACCTGCCTCTGCCTCCCAAGTGCTGGGATTAAAGGCGTGCACCACCATGCCCAGCTGTATATACATTTATATTAAACAAACTAGGTCAAGAAAAACTTTGAGATAATAAAAGGTGCTTTAAATTTTATTTATTTTTATTTACATGCTGCTTTGAGCTGCCTGACTCCTCTGCAAAAGCAGCAAATGCTCTTAACTGCTGAGCCATGTTTCCAGCCCAAAAGAAGGTGCTTTATTTCCTAAAAGATTTACCAAAGGAATCCTTGAATGAGTAAGAACCATTATGGCATTTACAGTACATATAACAAAAACTTTATGCTTCTGTGGACAGTAGCTTCTGTAGTTCTACCAAAGCACTTACTGTAAAAGCAAAATCTGTCTTCTCTTTTTCGCATTGGACCATAGGTTCTTTGAGGACAGAGATTCTATCTTTTAACCTCTTATATTCAATACATAATTCAATACATAGCACATAATAGGTTCTCAGTGAAATTTGTTGAATAAATGGTTGCTTTTCTTTGGGATACAGAATTATAGGTAATTATTTTTCTTTCTATTTTTTAAAAAGATTTTTTTCAAAAAAGATGAAAATGAGTGTTTTGCATGTATGTATATGCACCATGTGCATGCCTGGTGCTTGCAGAGGCCAAAAGAGGGCATTGAATCCCCTGGAATTGGAGCTATGGATAGTTGTTAGCCACCACGTGGGTGCTGGGAACGAAACCAGTGCTCTTAATCACTGACCCACCTCTCCAGTCCCTAGTCTTTCCACTTTTTTATATTATCAAAAGTTTCTGTGGTGAACAGACATGACTTTTGGATTTTAAGAATACAGGGTCACCTCGTACTTTGGAGAAGAGTTATCCCACAGCAAATCAGTCTTGGCAGTAACATTATGAGATGAGAAGAAACTGAGACGATAGATTACACCTTCCTCTCTAAACCCAAAATCACTGCCAAGAGAACAGAACTGCATGCAAAGAACTATGCTTATACTTGCAGAAGAATTCTGGGGGCCACAGGCCTGCCTTAAAGGAACAAATAAGCTGGGACAGTGTGAAAACAAAGGTACAATTTGGCAAGTGCAGCAACAAACACAATGGAGACAAAGTTTTATAATGATTCTTAGGGAGAAGAAACCACGCCTGACTAAAGAACAGTCTGTACAGAGATGTTATGTGGTTTTTGAGTGCTTTCAAGGGAGAAATATTTTGATAGGTGAAGAGGGGAAGAGGAGGCATTCCAGACATTCCAGAGTGTAGACAAAGGTCACATTAAAAGCATGATGGCAAGGAACCACATAGCATCTATGTAGCAGTGAACTGTTGTAAAGGTTCTTGGATGCCAAATTCAAGAGTTCATTTTAAACCCAGTAGGCAAATGGGAACTAACAAAGATTTTTAGGCCAGAAGTTGTAATTTAAGTTGGGAGTTGCAATTTAACAACACTGGTTTTATAGAAATTAATGAATAAAATTGTCTATTTCACTATTACTGCAAGAGATTAGGGTTACACCAACACAAGAGAAAAAAAGGCCAGAAAAGAGTGGACAGAACGAAACACTGGAAATCCAAATCCACAATGTAGAAACTGCCTTGACTAGGCGTGGGAGTGGCAGAGAGAGGAAAAGTAAGCAGAAGCAGGTGTCAGCAACGGCATGACTGGAAAAATAGTGACACCAAAACACCAGAAAATACAGGCAAAACCCAAGAAGAGCTGAAATCAAAGAGGTGAATAAAATGGACACTATCTCCATATTTACATTTTGATGAATGCCACTTAAAATCATCTTTTTTATGCTAACAAAGGGCTCTGCACCTGGTTGAGGAGTGGGGTGATGGCATCATCACAGCGATCTAAAATAAGCAGCAATGGAGGAACCTCTGTCCGCCGGAATTCAAACAGTTCATATTCTTTGGTTATCACTTGCTGTAAGTGAAAGGAAAGAACGGTTTGGTCAACCACTTGGCTGCAGATAGAGATACTTAAAATAGGAAATAAGTAAGAAACATGTAGCAGTTTTCCCCACCCTCACAAGCATTTTATAAACAGGTTCAAACGCTTCATAAAGTTTTATATTTAAGAAGTTAGGACTTGCTGGGCATAATAGCCTACACCTTTAGTCTCAACACTTGTGAGGCGGAGGCAGGAAGATATCTGCAAGATGGAAGCCAGCCTGGTCTACATAGTGAGTTCCAGACCAGCTGGGGCAACAGGGGCCTCTGTCTCAAACAAAACCACCACAAAATAAAACAAAACTAAACAAAAAAGAAATTTGGATTTGAAACTCTATTTCACAGTAGTTTAGCTGAACCCAAAAATCTTAAATAGCTGTGACTATATCTTACATTAAACCTATGGGTCTTAGCACTAATTTATTGCTTTTTTTTCTTATTTTGAATTATATAGCCCTACTTCTTTGCCAATAAAAACAACATATATTCTCTTTTGCTATAGAGAAAACATTTCTGATAGTTTCTTAACCATGACAGGAAAATGACTAGCCTTGAGGTTCTAGAACCAGAACAGTGAATACTATACCTTAACACATTCTGCAAGTCTCTTTGCTGCCTCTGAAGAAAGCTGATAACGAATCATGGGGCACTTCTTCAGAGATAAAAGAAGCGCCGTCAGTCCTTGAGTTGTTCTGGATAGCTGGGTTGGATCCCAGTTTCGACCCTTTTGTTAAAATATAGTAAAAGAAAACACTTTAATTTCCTCTTTGTTAACCCCAATTACTTGATGAATTAACTCCCACTTGATTAACTTATTTTGAAAATCCTTTCCTTCCATACCTGACAGCAACCCAAAATATTGAGGGAAAACAAATGTGGATTCACAGCAATGTAATCACCATAAAATTCCTGCAAAGAAAGCATCAAGGTCAGCTGATAATAAACTGCAATTGTATCAAGTGACATAATCAAATGGCTACATGAGGTGTAAAAGAGGCACAAAAATGTTCAAATAATAATTGAGTAGCAGTGGGGGAATTAAAATAAATACAAAACACCAAAGATAATGATAAATCTTCTTTTAAAAAATTGTAGAAGTGGGCTAGGCGTGGTGGCGCATGTCTGTAGTCCCAGTACTTGGGAGGCAGAGGCAGGTGGATTTCTATGAGTTCAAGGCCAGCCTGGTCTACATAGTGAGTTCCAGGCCAGCTGGGGCTACAGGGAGACCCTGTTTCAAAAAAGAAAAAAAGTTTTAGAAGTGCACACATCAATGTATTTAGGAATTAGTAAAAATCAAACACTGCTATAGGATACACAATGTTATATTACACTTGCTAAAAAGGAACTTTGCTGTCCAATATACTCTTGGGAAGGAGAATATGATTCCAAATAGATCATTATTTTTACATGTTTATTACCTAGCATATTCTTTTGAAAAATTCAAAACTAGTTTATTTGCAGCCTGTGAAGACAGTATTCTTCATGTAGGTGACAAATATATTCAAATTTTATGATATATTCAAGAACACCTAACTATTCAAGAAGGGAAGGGTAACATAATATGTACTAATGTGCTATATTATATAGCATACAAAATAAATCCTTAGGACTTTCAAAATGACAAGGTCTGTTTATTAGCTACCAAAACATGAATCTTTTTAAAACAGAACATTGAAAACCTTGCTCATAACGATTCCAATTCTCTTCCAATCAGCATAGTCTCATTGAAGGTTTTAAAGTAAGACTGATAAAACTAACGCAGAACATACATATCTGACTCCATCACTAACCCTGTGAAACCTTCCTGCCAGTTCATCAACCCACTCTGATTCTTCCCACTGATTCCTTTAATTCTGTTTCTATCCAATTTAATACCACTTCCAGACTTTCTTAGTCTGGCACATTTATTTGGTCTGATAAGACAGCACCTTCCTATTTTTAGACTAAACTTTTTGAAGAGTCACAAGAGATGTGTTACAGGCTCCACATGTTTACCTGAACTTCAGCCACAACTTCCTGTTCATCAGCTTCGGCTAACGACTTAACATCACTCTTGCTGATCACATTACTGAAATCTGAAACAGATATAAAAATTGCATTTTGACTCAAAGTACATCAGCTTTGCTGCAATTAGACTTAAACAGGCCTGATAGTTAAAGTCTAATGAGTAAGTGAAGTTTAGTAAATATTGTGGTATCAAAGCCACAGGCCTTCAAGTTGAAATCAGTAGCACAAATATACTAAAATCCAGAAAGTAATGCTTTAAAAAAACAGCATCATTATAGACATTAGCACCACAGAATCAAATCATTAAATATTGTAAATATAGGGAATGAAGGAAAATTTTACCCTCTCTTCTATGTGTAAACTGCACCAAATAAAAAATGAGGGAAATTTTTTATAGAAACATTTCATCTAAAAACAAACACTAAATGTTAATGACAGAATATCAACTCCCTCCTACTCCCAACTCCTAGTGAATCAACAGATGGACCGGTGTGAGCACTGAACAATAACACCTGGTAATATCACAAGGAAGAAACCATTCATGAAATCATACATCACCTATTTAGTATTCTTGCCAAAAAGAAACTAAAACTTAATCCATTAAGATTCCAAATTCTCTTACAAATTTAGAGATGTAATCAGGGTACAGAGTCAGGGTACAGAAAAGTTACTGGCTTCCTCAATGAATAAGCTGTGTGAAGAAGATCTAAGGAAACAACATACTGACCAGTCAGTTCCAACATGTGGACTGTATTTTGATCTTGGTTCAAACAAACAATGGGGGAAAAAGAGACACAACAGAATTTGAAATCTGAACACTGAATGGAGTGCTTGAAAATAGGAATCATGGGGCTGGAGAGATGGTTCAGGAGTTAAGAACACTTGCTGCTGGGGTTGGAGAGATGGCTCAGCAGTTAAGAACACTGGTTGTTCTTGCAGAAGACCTGGGTTTGAATCCCAGGGCCCATATGGCAGCTAACAACTGTCTGTAACTCCAGTCCCAGGGGATCTGACAGCCTCTTCTGACCTCTGCAGGCACTGCACGACACGGGTGCACTTACCTACATGCAGGCAATACACGCATACACATTAAAAAAAAAAAAAAAGCTTTATAAAAAGAAAAAGTTCAATTCCCAGCACCCACATAGCAGCTAACAACTGTCCAGTTCCAAGGGATCTAATGCTCTCTTCTGGCCTCTGCAGGCATTGTAGCACATGGTGCACTTACATACATGAAGGCAAAATACTCATACATATAAAATAAAGATAATAAATAAAATGTTAAAAAAAGAAAATAGGAATTACTTTTAATTTTTATTTGGATGTAACAATGGCATTGTTTTAAATGAATTTGTCTCCATTAAAGATGCATATTGAAATATCTACGGGGAATGAGGTGTTGCTGGTCTGGAGAGACGTCAGTTCTCTGGTTGGTGGGGAATCTGCGAGCTGAGCCTTTCTATGGGACACCTGGATGTTGAAGAGAAAAAAAAATCTCTGACAACTATACAGTGCATCAGTTAGTATACAGCTTCTGTGCTTTATTAGGTTAATGCATCTTTCAACTCTCACCAGAGAAGTTTCCTTATGGACCAGATGGTGCTTAACACTGAAACCCACAATGGTCAATGTGAAGAGAACAAGAGACTGCAGAGTGCTTACCCCTGAATAGGACACCTATATCAAACATCTGCCTCCCAAGGCTCAAGGATCATTCAAAAGAGGGGGTAGAAAGACTGTAAGAGGTGGTAAATGACCACAAGGAAACAGAAACTTTTCAGACAGCTGGTCAGTTACTCATATGAACTCACAGCAATGGTGACAGCATGCACAAATCCCATGCAAGCTCAAACCAGAAAAAATAGCAGAAGAGATGTGAGGCTTGGGTAAAGAGCTCCAACCCCACCTAAAGAAAGTGTGGCAACTGATGGCATCTGGGAGGGGCAGAGTCAGTCTCTTTCAAGAATGGGACTCTTGGCAGGCTAACCAGGCCCCAGTGGATAGGCCCACACTGAAGGACATTTAGGGACACAAGTTAGACTCTACAAGCCTTATTATTTATAATACAGCATACTAAATTGGGTGGGGGGGCAACAAGGGAGGTGTGAATGCGGGCATGATCTAAATACCATCAAATTATATTGTTTGAAAATCAGGAAAATTCAATTAAAAAAATAAAAATTAGGAAAAAGAAGTATCTACAGATGAAATTATATGACATCTTAGATTTGTTTCAGAATAATATTGGTGGGAGCCGGGCATAGGGGCATACACCTTTAATCCTAGCACTTGGGAGGCAGAGACAGGAGGATCTCTGTGAGTTCAAGGCCATCCTGCTCTACATAGTAAGTTCCAGGCCAGATGAGGCTACCAGGAGACCCTGTCTCAAAAAGACCAAGAATTATTATTGTTACTACTACTACTACTACTACTACTACTACTACTAATAATATTGGTGGGGGAGAAGATGGGACCATAGCTCAAACAAGACTGGGTATGGTGCAGTAATTGTTGAAACTAGGTGTTGGGTACACTGGCATTTATCATACTATTTTACTTATATACATTTAAGATTTTCCATAATACATTTTTAAATTAAGAGATGCCAGTAGACCTAAAATTATTAAAAATGAGGTTAAAATAGGTCAGTCTAGTGCTAACTTAAATTGTTCTAAAAGTCTATAATGATAAAATTACTATATAAAAATTTATTTTAGTTTACTTCAACCAAATAAAATTCTGAAACTGATTGTCATGCCCTAAGATTTTCAACAGTTTATACTTTATAGGATTTAGTACTAACATAATTTTTTTCCTGCTATATATATATTTATACCCTATATCAGGTAATCTTTATAAACAGTAGATTTATTATCTTTTGTTAATCTCAACTACTACATGAAAGAACATTCTTTAGAAGAAGGGTCTTTTACTACAATTCAATTCTTAGAAGAGAGACTCAGCAAAACCATGATTCTATTATATATTTACTTAAATTCAGAAACACAGGGAGATGAGAGTGGTGGTGCACACCTTTAATCCCAGCACTTGGGAGGCAGAGGCAAGCAGATCTCTGTGAGTTCAAGGCCAGCCTGGTCTACATAGCAAGCTCCAGGCCAGCTGGGGCTACAGGGAGACCCTGTCTCAAAAACACAAAAACCAAGCCAAACAACCAACCAACCAACAAAACAAACAAGAAACCAGAAACACAGGGAAAACAAAGATCACACATATACAAAACAGACTATACCTGGTAATCAGACTAAAAAATACTAGGATGACTACACACCCATCACATTGGCTAAAAAAGCCACTATCAAATGACTGTAGCAATACAATTACTCATATACTGCCAGTAGAAATGTAAATTGGTACAGTTATTCTGGAAAACATTTATCAGTTTCTTAGTCATTAAACGTGTGACTACCATGTTACCCAGTACTTGTGCTAATGGGCATGATTTAATTCCAAAGAAATGAAGACCATGTTCACACAAAAGCCATTAACAGAGATTTATATCAGCTCTATCTGAAAAAGTAAAAGTGGAAACAGATCAGATGTTCTTCAATGGTGAATAGTTAAATGAACACACAATGGAATACTACTCAGCAATAAAAAGAAATTAATTGATATGTACAACCCAAGGGTTATGCTGAATGAAAAACACCAGTCCTAGAGCTGGAGAGATGGCTCAGCAATTAAGAGCACTTGTTGCTTTTGCAGAAGACCCAAGTTCAGTTCTCAGCACCCACAGGACAGCTAACAACTGTCAGTAACTCAGTTCCAGGGGATCCAACACCCTCTTCTGGCCTCCGTGGTCACTGCATGCATGGTATACTTATATACATGGAGGCAAAACACTCATATACATAAAAATAAAAATAAATTTTAGGAGGGCTAGAGAGATGGCTCAGTGGTTAAGAGCACTGACTGCTCTTGCAGAGGACCCAAGTTCGACTCCCAGCACCTACATGACAGCTATGAACCGTTCTTAACTCCAGTTCCAGGGGAATCTGAAGCCCTCTTCTGACATGCAGGCAATATACTCATACATATAAAAAATAATAAATTTTTAAAAATACAAATAAACTTTTAAAAATTTTTCTTAGGGAGAGATAGGAGCCAGGTGTGGTAGTACATGCCTTTAACATAACAAAAGAGCAATCAATATAAGAGACACTTATGGGGCAAAAGACTCTGCTGCTTGATTGTACCACTGTTAATAGCCTGGTTGAGATACCACACTGTCATATAGATGCTGCACCAGGGGGAAGTGGTAAAGGTTTATGGGATCTCTGTACTTTTTCATAACTATATGCTGATTTAGTTTGCCTTCTGCTGCTAATACAATACTTCTGTCTGGGTAAGTTGAAGAAAAAAGATTTATTTTGGCTCACAGTTCTGTTCCAAAGGGCCTAGTCTAAGGGCTGAATTTTGTGAGGACTTTCTTACTGAGAGTCTAGAGGCAGCTCAGGGAACATATGTTAAGAGGCAAGGTGACCAAGCCTTCTACAGCAGACTCATTCTTAACACACTAGTACAGCAATCATAACGGCAAATTAACAGGGCCAGAGAGGTGGCTCAGTGGTTTAGAACACTGGCTGTTCTTGCAGAAGACCCAGGTTTGAATCCCAGCACCCACATGGCAGCTAACAACTGTCTGTAACGCCAGGGGATCTGGCAGCCTCTTCTGACCTCTGCCGACAATGCATGACACAGGTGCACTTACCTACATGTAGTCAATACATCATACACATAAAATAAAAATAATAAATGTTTTTTAAAAAGGAGTAGATTAACTACCTCTTAAAAGTCCTATCTCTTGCTGGGCATGGTGGCGCATACCTTTAATCCCAGCACTTGGGAGGCAGAGGTGGGCGGATCTCTGTGAGTTTAAGGCCAGCTGGGACTACAGGGAGACCCTGCCTCAAAAAAAGAAAAAAAAGTCCCATCTCTTAATATTTCATAATAGAAATTGAATTTCAACTTGGGTTTTGGAGAGACAAACCACAGCACATGTGAATCTACAATTAATTTTTAAAATGGTTTAATTTAAAAAATAAAAACTATGACTATTAACTCAAACTCAAAACAAATAAAAAATAGGGATAAGAAACTATTAAAAAATATTTTTAGCCAGGCGTGGTGGCACATGCCTTTAATCCCAGCACTCAGGAGGCAGAAGCAGGTGGATCTCTGTGAGTTCGAGGCCAGCCTGGTCTATATAGTGAGTTCCAGGTCAGCTGGGGATACAGAAAGACCCTGTCTCAAAAAGACAAAAATAAATAAATAAATAAATAAACAAACAAACAAATAAATAAAGATTTTTACCTGGTGGGTGTGGTAAAGGCTCAAATGAAATAAAATATGTGACGACTCTTTATAAAATAGAGCGTCCTTACTACAAATGTTAATTTTTGGCATCATTATTGAATAGTATGTGTTGAAAAACATGTATATCTTAGACAATGGTCTAAACCCTAAAATTGTAAAGCTTTTCAATAAGTTCAAAAACTCTGAGCTGGGCATAGTTATGTACACCTTTAATCTGCTTACAGATTTCTGTAAGTTTAAGCCACTGCCTGGTCTGTATAGTGAGTTCCAGGCCAGCTGGGCTACAAGGTGAGATTCTGTCAAAGAAACCAATAAAACACAACACAACACAAAACAAAAGAAAACCTCTCAAATGTACTGCTTTCGGTGTGCTGTTTGGTTCGTTTTGGAACTGGTTTCAGACACTGAACTAATCCTACAAAGACCAACACTGACATCTAGAGGAGAGTAGCTGTAACTCCCATAGCAGAACTAGAAAAGTCCCGTTAGCTAGGCAAAGCAACCACAGACCTCCCTCTTTCCAGACCTGCCCTAGGCACTCCCTACAGAAGAGACAATTGCTTGGTGATTTGTACTTCATGCACCTATGAAAACAGCAGAGAGAAGTGAGACCATTTCATCTGGTATGTGATGCACATTTTTAACTTTCCAATAATCTTATATAGCCACTTCCCTAAAGTATTAGTGTCTATACTGTAATTAGTAAGAGAAACCCAGGAATAAGTAAACATTTTGGTGGAGTTAGAATATGAAATTTGGTTACTTATACTTTTGGGCTTACAAATCAGCTTAAAAAGCAAGGCGAAACTTAAAAACCTTTTTATCTAAGCAATGAATGGAAATTATATTTAGCTCTCAGAAAGAGGAGTGCTGGCCATAATATTCTGAAAGTCACTAATCAAACAAGCTTTAAAGTGATGGATTTGCAAATTTAGTGGGGTGAGGTCCTCAATGGCTAGAACCAGCTGAGATATACATACATGACTAAAAGTGAACTAACATACTTACAAATAAAATAGATGCTATATTTGGGTCTTCGGAGCTCCTGAATCAGATAATCCACATTCTCCTAGAAAATAAAGAACAAACAAAATATGAGCAGAGTTGCTTAAGTAAAAAAGGTACAGGGCTGGGGAGATGACTCAGTAGGTAAAGGCACTTGTTATCAAGACTGACTACCTGAGTTCCACTCCCAGGATGAATATGGTGAAGAGAACTGACCTCTGACCTTCCCACTTGCATACACACATAAATAAATGAGAAAAAAAAAAAGTTAAAGTACTAAGCACCATCCACTGATTGATTTACTCAGAGTGGCTTATATAGGGAGTGGCTATATAAGATTATTGGAAAATTTAAAATGTGCTTCACATACCAGATGAAGTAACTGTATTCTAAGGTCAAGACTATACCTATATTGGGCAATGAAGGCTGGGAATAAACAAGAAATACATTAAAATTTCCACGGCTGAGGCAGTCGCGTACTGGCCGCCCAGGGGCTCCGGCTCAGGCCCGGCTCTGCAAGGGCAGCGGCAACCAGCGCCTTTCCTCAGGACATCAATGCAATTCTAAAGACAAAGCATTGGCTTCCTTCTAAGCCATGGAATATCAGTTATACAGAAATACAACTTTGGGAAACAGTCTTCAAGAGAGCCTTGATGAGCTCATACAGTCTCAACAGATCACCCCCCAACTTGCCCTTCGAGTTCTACTTCAGTTTGATACAGTTAAAAATTCAGCATTGGCTAGAGGGTCAGGAACAGAGTCAATTTCAGGGGCTCTCTAAATACAGACAGATTCTGCGATAATGTCTGGACTTTTGTATTGAATGATGTTGAATTCAGAGAAGTGACAGAGCTTATTAAAGTGGACAAAGTGAAAATTGTAGCCTGTGATGGTAAAAATACTGGCTCCAATACTACCGAATGAATAGAGGGGAAAAAATGGCTTTTTTAATGCCCTCTTCTGTTATTATTCATTGCTTTTTGAGGAGAACATAGAAGAGACTTTTTCTTAACTTATTCTAACTTTACAAAAATGACAACACTGTTCTGTACTCTCCGACAGTTCCACAGAAAGCAGCTTAACTCTGTCTTCTTTATATTACTTTTATTCTACAGCATAAAGAAATGTACTTTTTAAAAATGACAAATCAAAAGTGCCTCTTTCCTAAAAATATTCTTCAATAAACACATTTTAAACTCAAAAAAGAAATACATTAAATATAATGGTTAGAATATTATACATGATTCAATATTATACATATAACTGCATTATCTTGGTCAAATTAAGATGAAACTACAAAGGATACATGTTAAAATACAACATAAAATTGCTATTACTTTTGCAAATTTGCCTCAAGCTACTTGTCAGTAAACTGTATTCATCTGACCAGATTTCTTATTTAGGACATCAAAATGTGTATAGTTCATTAAAAACAAGAGAAAATATAATTAACTATATTAAATTTAGCTAATATATTCAATTAACTAATTCAACTGAGATCTAAGAGTACACACGTGCAATGTTTGTGAAGCATTTACAAATATCAGGCAAAGGCCCTTTCAATAATTACATTTAAAAAAACAGAATAACAAATGTTAGACGCAAAAAAAAAATCAAGATTTTTAAAGACTATGTGTGTCTGTGTCAAGGTACATGCACATGAGTGCAAGTGCCTGTGGAGACCATAGGAATCAGATCCCTGGAGCTAGTCACAGGCAGTTGTAAGCCATCCAGATGGGTGCTAGGAAAGGAACTTAGGTCCTCTGTAAGAGCAGTATACGGTCTTAACCATTGAGCCATCTTGCCAGCATCTCCCTTCCCACCCCAACAGTTCTTTTTTATTTTCCCAACAGTTCTTTTTATCTTGTCAAAACATCACAATTCTAATCACAGAATATCCTAATGCGCATTTCATCTATTTTTTTAGTACTAAAATGTGGTAAATTTCAATATATTTTATTATTTTAATTTTGTTTTTTATGTGTATGCATGTACTGACTGCATGTATGTAAGTACACCTGTGTTCTACAATGCCCATGGAGGTCAGAAGGGGGTGTCAAATCCCCTGAAACTGGAGTTACAGGCAGTTGTTAGCCACCATGTGGGTGCCAGGAATTGAACCAGGTTTTTTGCAAGAGTAGTTAGTGGTCTTAGCCACTGAGCCATCTCTCCAGCTTGGAAATTTCAATATAAATTGGGCCCTCAAACTAAATATGATGCATCATTTAAAATTTTTTTAATCACATTTCATTACAGTATTAAAAATAGTTTTAGGAAATATTCATTGCAACTGGGGATGATGGTGCTCACTCAGGAGGCAGAAGCAGGATGGTGAGTTTGAGGTTAGATCTGGGCTGCACTGCCAGATCCTGTCTAAAAACAAACAAGTAAACAAACAGGAAATACACATTGCCTATTTATTGGGAAAAGTTTTTAAAATTGTCATTTAGGCCAGATGTGGTGGAGTATGCCTTTAGACCCAGCACTTAGGAGGCAGAGGCAGGTGAATCTCTGTGAGTTTGAGGCCAGCCTGTTTTGCACAGTGAGCTCCAGGCCAGCTGGGGCTACAGGGAGACCCTGTCTCAAAAACACCAAAAAAAGAAAAAAAAAATATATATCTTTGTTATATACATTTTGTTTTTTAAAAAATATTTGTGTGTGTATACATTGTATAAATGCCTGTGGGTGTGCATGCCTGTGAGTATGTGCAGAGGCCAGAAAGGGTGGGGGGGTGGGGGGGTTTGGATAGAGTGTCAAAAGAGGCTCAAAAAGTTCTAGGACTAGACCACACTGCACTTTGCAGGCAACAAGAGGAAGTCGGTCAGTGATTTCAAGCAGGGTGACATAATCAACTTTTCATTTTTGGGAAGTACATAATGTACAAACACGATTAAAGTACATTAGAACTGAGGAACATAAATATGAATCAAGAGAATATAAAAGTGAGGGATGGTGGCAGATACATGTAATCCCAGCACTCAGGAGGCAGAGGCAGGTAGAATGCCACAAATTTGAGGTCTGGTCTTTAAAATGAGTTCCAGAAACCCTGCCTCAGAGGAAGGAGGGAGGGAGGGAAGGAGGGAGGGAGGGAAGGAGGGAGAGAGAGAATATTAAAAAAAATTAATGTTCCTGGATAGGACTCCTATATTAAACCTTCCCCACCCAGGGCTCAAGGACCATTGCAGAAGAGGAGGTGGAAAGATTGTTAAGAGCCAGGGGTGGTGCAGAACCATAAAGAAACAGACTCTTCTAGGACTCTGGGAACTTGCTCATATGAACTTACAGCAATAGTGAGAGCATGCACAAGACCCATGCAAACTCAATCAGACAAAACCCAACATAGATCTGGGGAAATGGGTAAAAAGCCCTAATCTTAGCTGAGGAACTATTGGTAGCTGATCACTGCTGGGCAAGAGAGAGAGTTGGACTTCTTTAAGGGAGTGATGCTAGATAGGCTAACCAGGCTCCAATGAATGAACGAACTCACACTGAGGGACATTTGGGTACACACACTTGACTCCATAGGCCTTAACATATATGACAGAATAACTGAAATCTGGTAGGTGGAGTATGGGTGGGGGTGCAAATAGGGGACAGTATCTAAATATGACTAAGATGTATGCTATGAAATGTACAAACATTCAATAAAATGTACAAACATTCAATAAAAAATATATATTGAAGGGGGCTGGAGAGATGGCTCAGTGGTTATGAGTACTGGCTGCTTTTGCAGAGGACCCAGGTTCAATTCCCAGCACTCACATGGCGGCTAATAACCATTTATAACTTCAGTTCCAGGAGATCCAACACCCTCTTCTGACCTCCACAAGCACTGCGTGACATGGGTGCACCTACCTACATGCAGGCAATACACTCATACAGAGAAAATAAAATAATATATATGTGTAAATAATAAAATTGACCCAGCTTCACAGAGTTGGTGAGACAGGGTCTCCCTGTAGCCCCAGCTGGCCTGGAACTTACTATGTTTACTATGTAGACCAGGCTGGCCTTGAACTCACAGTGATCCACCTGCCTCTGCCTCCCAAGTGCTGGGATTAAAGGCATGAGCTACCACGCCCAGCAGAAAGTATTTTTAAAGAAGGCACTGAAGGGAGCCAGTGAACCAGCACAACAGGTACCAGCACCTGCCTCCAAGCTGACAACTACAACCTGAGTTTGGTATCTGGGAACCATATGGTAGAAAGAGAGAACCAACTCCTACAAGTTGTCCTCTGACCTCCATATGCATGTTGCAGCACATGCTCCCCCACCCCACCCTCCAAAAAAAGTTTAAAAAATGGAAAGAAGGCAGGTATAGTGTTGTACACAGGTGGATCTCTGTGAGATCAAGTCCAGCCTGGTCTACACAGTGGGTTCCAGGCCAGCTGGGGCTACAGGGAGACCCTGTCTCAAAAAAAAAAAAAAAAAGAAATCTGGCACTGATGCCAGATTTGTAAGGAGATGGACAAAAACTGGCAAATAGCTGAAGAACTTTTAGAGATCGACAACAAACAAATAAGGGACAGGAATAAGTATGTGGAGGAATGATATTAGGACCAGTTGGCTATAATGCAGGACCAGAACTGGGGCACATGAAAGTTAAATATGTAAGGGAAGACCAAACTAGCAAAAGGAGGATTTTTTACTGCTAGGTCACAAGATGTAATCAAAGGAGAAAAATCAAGTCACCATAGGTTCCTAAGCATAGATGTGAATAAAATGGTAAAGGCTCAAGATTAAAAGATTAAATGGTAAAGACGTTCAGTGCTAGGTATGGTGGTCACTCCAGGAATAAAGTGATGTAGGTTCTAGGAGTTAGTGGCTTTGGGAATAGCTGTTAACCTAACAGATATCTTGACAGGGTGAATTGAGGTAAGGAAAGGAAAAGGACATAGGTTACAACTCTGACAAAACAGGATAATTATGGTGCCACGAATGATAATACAAATTTATTTTGCCTTCTTAATGATTTCAATGTTCTGCATCTGTTTGGGGAGATGGCAGTTCAACCTTTGTAGTACCTTTGTAGGTCGAAGGAAACAAATTGCTTTGAGGTGTTTCATGATCTCTCGATTTTGAGAATCAATGCGTTCAAAGAGGTATACTTCCTTCTGAAGAATCTCTGATTGTGTGTAGACCATACTCACTATACCAGTCTAGAAAGAAAAAGAATTAATCAACATTATGCTAGTCCAGACTAATGAAAACAAGGGTCGATATTTAAGCCTTTTAAAAATTAATACTTAGCTGGGTAATGTAAATGTTAATAAATGGAATGACATTTTCTGATTATCCAAAACAGGTCGTAATGTACTAAAATGAAAACCATGCTCTCTGAACAAGAACAATGCATAAACTTCAAAAGGATTTTTTTCACTGCCTTTAAGGTTTTTCTTTAAGGTTGTAGCCAACAAATTAACCTGTCCTTGCAGCTTCAACCCCAACAGTTTATTTTAAAAACAACTTGAGTGCTCTCTGTCTCACACATTAGTGATTTCTTGACAGAGGCATTGTTTCAGGTACAAGAAGTCTCTCGGCACGGGTTAGAGCCATTTAGACTGCAAACTCACTGGGAAAGCTTTATACAACTTTTTCAGTTCCAGAGAGAACTGACCATCATTATTAATTAAACGCTAAATCCTACAATGGAATGAGATCAGCTATTCTAAGGAAGGGTTTCCTTCACAAATATTGAGCAAAAGCAAACTCACCGTTTCTTTATCCATGAGAAGTACTTTCATACCGGGCCCGCTGTCCTCTATCATTTTGGAAATATACTGCTTTACAGCAAAAACCACGTTCATGGTGGCGAACTGACAGGTACTCTACAGCCCTTCCCGCCCCCCTTTTCTTACTGAATTAACCCTAGGCCTGTTGTCAGCTGCTTCCGGTCGGCCAAGCATAGGCTTCCGGGAGTCCGGGCAGCCCGGGTACTAGGAATTGTAGTTCCGCGGTGGAGTCTCAGGACCTGGCTTCTTCACTGGATGGAAAGACCCGACTGAGATACTGAATGCTGGAAAGCACCTGCGCCATTCTCGACCTCTTCGTGCCTGGGTGCTCAGACGCTTCGGAGCTGAGATGCTGCAGGCCTGGGCGCTTAGGCCCGCGCGGGCTGAGATGCTGCAGACCTAGGCGCTCGTAGCGGTGCCGGCTTTTGGTTCGAAGGCTCAACACGGCTTGCAAGCCTCTGCTGCTTGGGAAGGGCTTGACGCGTCCCAGTAAAGGTCTGTCTAGGAGACTAAACTGATGGAGCAGGGCTAAGGTTTTGCCAAAACACCTTTCTTGAGATGGGCGTGGTAGCATCCCGAAGCCTGAGGCACTGGCACGAGAATCTAAAGTTCAAGGCCAGTCTGTGCTCTATGTAAAAGTTCCAGAATAGCCTGGCTGGGCTACGTGGGGAGAGCCTGTCCCCAAAGCAATCAACCAAACAAACTGAATGCATAAGAGGATCGCATCTTGTATTTACCAGGCAGTGGCGGAGATTCGTCTTCCCCACCTCACTGGGTCAATAAGGCAGCGATACTGCCCAGTGTTAAGGCTGAAAGTGAGACCCGAGTTGGTCTGGCTGATCAAATGATTGTTGAATGAATAATGTTGTGGGAGAGACCTCAGAGTCCCCTGGAGGACGCGGAGCTGCAGCGGCCACGGAGGACCACAGAAGCCGGCGTTGCCCTGGGCACCTGGGTTACCAGGAGCCGGAACCGGCTGTAGTCCGTTGGTCCTGAAACTAGCCTGAGGATTTAAAAGGAAACTAAAAAATGTTTACTTAAGAAAATATTAGCCATGAAACAGATCTTAAAACCATCAATATCTGCATGTGTGTTTACACCCACACCTATCATGTGACTTCTCAAAATGAGGGTAGATGTTTTTGTTCCTCGTCTCTACTTTGAAAGAATTGTAATTCTCTCTCTCTCTCTCTCTCTCTCTCTCTCTCCCCCCCCCCCCCCCCCCCGACAAAACTGGAAAGGGCATCATGAGAGGGAGTAAGGGAGCTTAAGGGCCCCACAGATATTGAGAGAATTCATGTAACACAAAGTCATAGAAGGGACTATTTAGAGGGAAAAAGGATACCAGGTTAGGTGGCACGGTGAGGGTGGGAGGCTGGGTTACAGGAGGCAAGAAGGAGGAGGGTAATGACAATACCTATGAAAATTATGAAAACCCATTACTTTGCATGCTAACTTAAAAATTAAATTTAAAAAATGCCGGAGGTCAGTTTAATCAATATATTAAGCATCACCAAATATTAGTTCTTTCAACATAAGTATGTAATTAAATAGTCCAATAGAACTTAAATCTAGTTAAGAGTATGCAACATTATATTCAATTTTCAAATCCTTTGAAGATCAGAAACCACTTGAAATATAGATTTTTTGTCACCTCTGAAATTGTGAAAATGTATTCTTTTCAGTTTCCCTGCCAAGTAAGTAAAACTTCCCATTGAGTATTTTACTATTTTCAAAATTGACTTCCTCCCTCCCTCCTCCTTCCTCCATTTCTTTCTTTCTTTCTTTCTTTCTTTCTTTTTCTTTCTTTCTTTCTTTCTTTCTTCTTTCTTTCTTTCTTTCTTTCTTTCATTCATTCTTTCCTTTTCTTTCTTTCTCTCTCTTTCTCTTTCTTCCTTTCTTAATGTATTTTTTAATTTTAGTGTATATGAGCGTATTGCCTGCATGTGTGTAGGTACACCCAAGTCATGCAATGATTGCGGAAGTCAGAAGAGGGTGTTAGATTCCCCTGGAACTGGAGTTACAGACAGTTGTTAGCCACCACATGAGTGCTGGGAATCAAACCCCAGTCCTCTGCAAGAGCAGCCAGTGCTTTTAACACACAGTGTGTTTTTGTTGGTTTTCTTTTACACCGTTTTTTCTCTCTCTCTCTCTCTCTCTCTCTCTCTCTCTCTCTCTCTCTCTCCTACATAACTCAAGCTGATTTGTGATCCTTCTGTCTTGGTCTGTCCTGTGCTGCAGTTACTGGTCCTGTGCTGCAGTTACTGGTGTGAAACACTGAGTTCACCTTGAGATATATTTTGAAAGAAGAGCCTTAAGTTTTATATTAAAATACAACAATGGACTGGGTGTGGTGGTGCACACCTGTAGTCCCAGCACTTGGGAGGCAGAGGTAGGTGGATCTCTGCGAGTTCAAAGCTTGCCTGGTCTACATAGTGAGTTCCAGGCTAGCTGGGACTGCAAGGGGACCCTGTCTCAAACAACAATAACAACAACAATGGTTGAATACAAATAATTGAAATCTAATGTTATATGTATTCTGTTTCATCAACGAAAAACATTCACATGCTATAGAAAATATTAAAACAATGCTATTGAAAAATTCACCTGCAAATCCTGCAAGTTACTGGTATTTGAAAAGTCACCTCCAGTCTCCCATGTCACTTGAATTTTCTTTCTTACCTACAATTTGGACTGCAATATAGTATATCATAAATTATTTTCAACTTTCTGAATTTTTTAAAAGAACAAGGAGAGGCTGGAGAGATGACTCAGTGGTTAAGAGCACTAGCTGCTCTTGCAGAGGACAGGGGTTCAATTCCCAACACCTATATGGCAATAATAACAGTCCATAACCCCAGTTCCAGGGGATCTGACGCCTTCTGACCTCTGTGGGCATTGCAGGACATGGGTACACTTACATGCAGGCAATATACTTATACACATAAAAATAAATAATAAAGAGCAAGGAGGAGAAAAGGGATTATTCATGAAGTTTGTGCTTTTTCGGATCACAGTCAATTTGGTTATTTATACTTAGCTAAATAACTTTTTGAAGGAGCGGGGAAATGCCCATTTTGACAAGGTTAACTAACTGATTCCATTTCCCATAAAATTCTATGGAGGGGCTGGACGTGGTGGCACATGTCTTTAATCCCAGCACTCAGGAGGCAGAGGCAGGCGGATCTCTGTGAGTTCAAGGCCAGCCTGGTCTACGTAGTGAGTTCCAGGACAGCTGGGGCTACAGGGAGACCCTGTCTCAAAAAGACTCCCCCAAAAAAATTCCGTGGAGGGCAGTTGCATTTTTATTTTACACATTGAATAATAGGATATAGAACCATAAGTATTTTGAAGAATGGATGTTTATATATTCAATGGGTGCTGTGGTGGTCCTGACAGTGGACAACATACTTTCTTCCTGAAGAAAGCCACACAAGCTATTTTAAATGTTTCCATATCAAGGACTTCTTTTGTACCCCTGTACCTCTAAAAATACAACTGAAATGCTTTGTGACTCATCCAGGATAAACCCAGGCTGACTTGCTATAGGCAAGAGAAGGCAGTCAGAAGGCAATATGAAGTGCCTTACTTTTTTTTTTTTAAGTTAATGGAAAAGTAAACGAATAACAAGAAATATTTTAATAATGTCATTTAATTTTAAAAATAAATCATGATTGGGCTGGAGAGATGGCTCAACAGTCAAGAGCACTTGACTGTTTTTGCAGAGGACTAAGGTTTGTTTCCCAACACCCACACAGTGGCTAACAGTGGTCTGAAACTCCAGTTCCAGGGGATCCAATACTCTCTTCTGGCCTCTGCCGGCATTGTATGTACAGGTACACTTACAGGCAAACAGACAAAAACAGTTATATTCATAAAAACAAATACAGTTTAAAAAAAATCATAACATTGATTTGGTAATTTGTGTTCTTGTGTGTCATTTTGTCATGCTCCTTTTTTCTCCATATTTATTGTAATGTAGCTATTAGATCTACAGCCTTGAAAACAATCATAACATCATATATAAATGATTATATTAACTATAAAAGCTTCAAATAGAGTTGTTGGGGACCCCTGCTGTTAGGGTCGCAGTCTCTCCATGTCCGGATAGCCGCGAGCCTGCTTGGCACCTGATGGAGAAACTCCCCTTTTTCAGCAGGGCGCCTCCTGCTCTCTTCCTGGCTCACCTTTGAAGTGCCCGTCACAGATGCCTTATCTAAAACATGACCTCTGGCATAGAAACTACCAGGTTTTAATCAGGCACTGTCTGACAGCATAGAAGCCCACCTCCACATGTAAATGAAGCATACTACAGAGCACCTATCAGCTGAGGCTTTTGCTACTGACTCCACACTATAAATCTTCTAGTTTCACCCTAATAAAGCGGAGCTATATCACTGAGATCATTGAACTTGGCTGATCTGTGTCTCACTGCGACTGCGACCGTCCTGTGATTCAGTCTTCCCGGAAGAAGCTATCCTTCCCGTCAACATTCACTCGCGAAGCTTCTGCGTTTGCCGTTCCTGCGCTCCCCGCCTCGGCTGGTGGTCCCACGGGCACAGTGAGAGCGTCCTGCAGCTAGCCTGAGCCCCCTGCAGATTGGCGCAGCCCACCCGGCAGCTTGCAGCGACCCGAAGAGCCGCCAGCGCCTGGTAGCCTGCCTTGGCACAGAGCCTGCACTCCCTGCCGCTGACCCGCCGATCTGCAGAGCCGCCGGCGCCCAGCAGCTGCAGAGAGCCAGACACCCGCCCAGCAGCGACACCCACACCCAGCCAACATAGAGTTACTTGAAAATTTTATTTTTACTGGGTCCAAGAAACTGTTACTTTAAGGATTGAAGACAAGAAGTCAAAATGTGATGTTTATGTCTTCACATTTTATTTAGACTTGTGAGTATGTGAATAAATTAAATAATTAGTGATAATTGTCCAAATAATCTCACGTATTTCTCCTTTTCGGGGGAAAATGTGTCCTACTTGGAAGTTTAAGTGCTCATTTTATATTTAATTAAAATCATGTGTTTTTTTCTCCATGAGAACTCAAGGCTTCAATATAAAATAAAGGATATGTAAATAAAGTTCCATATAATTATAATAATATGAAAGGTCTTAGTTATATCAAATTATCAGTTCTTGGGGCTGGAGAAGATGGCTCAGTGGTTAAGAACACTGGTTATTCTTGCAGAAGATCCAGGTTTGAATCCCAGCACCCACATGGCAGCTAACAAATGTCCTTAACTCCAGTTCCAGGGGATCCAACAGCCTCTTCTGACCTCGCGGGCATTGCACAACACAGGTGCATTTACCTACATGCAGGCAATACACACATACACATAAAATAAAAATAATAAAAATTTTTAAAAAGTTTATCAGTTCTTGAATTTCCTTGTTGCTTCATGTAAACACTTTTCCATCAAGCCTTGGATAGAAAGGAAATAAAAATGAAATTCAATGAAACTAAAGTTAATTAGATTTCCTACTTGATAGTAATTGAGAAAATATTTGGAAAAAGGATGGCAGTATTGCTAGTATGAGACAGCCAGTCCTTGTGGAGTGGTCTTAACCTTTCTCATCTGATAAATGCTGATACTATAGTGTGCTCCTATCTGGCAAATGTTGATAATATAGTACCTCAAGAAATTGTGAAAATTAAATAAAATGTGCAGAAAAATATTTTACACAGTGCTTGGCATGGAGTAAATGTACAACAAATAGCTTAAATTATTAGAAGTTTAAAAAAAAATATATATATATACTTGATTTTTGGAAAGATTTATTTAATTTATTATTATTATTATTATTATTATTATTATTATTATTTGCTATTTTTCAGACAGTCTCCCTGTAGCCCCAGCTGGCCTTGAACTTGCTATTAGACCAGGCTGGCCTCGAACTAACAGATATCCACCCTCCTCTGCCTCCCAAATGCTGGGATTAAAGGCATGCACCACCATGCCTGGCTAATTTATTTTTTATTGTTTATAATTTTATTTTTGTATTGAAATTTTAAGATCTTCTTATCATACTTTGATAGTATTTAGATTCCCCACATCCATACCAACCCCCACTCAATTTAATGTACTTTCATATATGTAGTATGGTCTATGAGTTTGATTTGTGTTCCCAAAGATCCATCAGTGTAGGTCCACCCACTGGGCCCACCA